GTGTTTGGGAATGATTAAAAAAAAACCCAGATGAAATCCACAGAAAGCTCTTCAGTAACTGAGTGGGTCAGTGCCTGAAGAAGCCCTGAAGCACGTTCATTCAACCCAAAGCCTGGCCTTTCCCATACTCTTCCTATTTCAGCTGAGGTTGGCAGACCCGCACCCTCCCAGTCTGTGGCACCTTCACTGTGAAACAGCACTGAGGTTTGCTGGTTTTTTAACTCTGTTGCACTTTTCTGCGGTCACTTTCTCTGAATGCAGGCTGCAGGCATAGCAATGGCTGTGGTGCGAGCCCAACCCCAGCAGGAACAAACCTGTTCCCCCCAGAACAACTCCAGGACAAGGAACCAAGAGGCTGAGGGAGGGGACAGGGCTCTGAGCCCCTTCCCACCTTTTCTTTTTCCTTCTGAATCAGCGTTTGCATCTCTTTGTTCCAGCCCAGCAGCTCCACCAGCTTCTCGACCCCACTGACCACGTCCCCCAGCTGGGCTACATCGTTGTAGCGCGGTCCCCAGGCAAAGGGTCCAACGAGATCTCGGTTGATCAGGACTCGGGGGACAGAGCTGCGAATGGCTCCTGCCAGGCTGGCAAAGGGCTCCACCTAAAGGGAGGCAACCGAAGGAGCAGAGACACATCACCCCACTGAGGGTCTCCGAGCACATGCACCCTATTTCTTACCCTGCCACCTCAAATTTTACCTCAATGACCCCGCTTTCTTGCCTTCTCTAAACCCTCTCCCTCCTCCAGAGTCCCCCTCGGGCTCTGTTTTCCATGTGCCTTTTTCTCCTTGTGAGCAGCAGTTTCCCTTGGTCCCAGACCTCCAGGGATGTTCCGATGATGAAAAGCAGGTCTGCCATGGGGAAGTCGGTGACGTGCAGGAAGAAGCGCTGTGGGAGCTCCTCACCAAAGAACACAATGTCAGGCTTGATGACTCCAGTGCAGACGCGACAGTGAGGGACCTTGTCTGCCATGACGTCCCCCTGGAGCAAGAGCACCCAACAGCAATCGTTACAGGTCAGCACATACCTGCAAAAGCAGGGTCAGAACCACAACACATCCTCACAGCAACACCCAGCCCCAGGTCTGGTCCCCTCCAATAAAACCTCTTGGCCCTGAAGGCAAAATAACCCTCAAGAGGGTCTTCTCCTTGCATTCATTTATGTGTCGATGCCCAGCTGGGAGCACTCACCCTGAAGTCCTCTCCTGGGAACTTCCTTCGACAGACTGTACAAGTGGCAGTGGCGAAGGTGCCGTGGGCTTCCACCAGTCTATCGGGAGGGATCCCAGCAACTGGAACACAGCGTGTGGGAGAGGAGCAGCTCAGTGTGAGGTGGCTGAACCAGAGGCCTCACATTCACTGGGCATTTCCCCAGCCCCGCCTCCTATTCTGCTTCTCACTCTCACCTCTTCTCACTGAGAGCTGAGGAAGGGAAACTCACCTCTCTCCAATCCGTCGATATTCTGGGTGTAGAGGCGCAAGAGGAGCCCTTTGTCATGCAGGAGCCTCAAGAAGTAGTGGGCGTAGTTGGGTCTGTAGTTGCCAGGGTAGAGCTCCTTGGCCAAAGTGAAAAAGGGCTTAGGGTTGATGAAGAAATACCTCAGTTCAAATATGGCTTCTGGGTAAGGGATGTTGTATTGCTCGAGGTTACTGTAAAGGCCACTCCCTGGGGATCTGCAATGAGAGGAGAGTGGAACTGGCAGTCAGTGTGCCCACGACAGTGCAGCCAGCCAGGTCCCTGGGTGTCCACCCACTTTGTGCTGTCCGTTGTGTGTCGAGAGCAGCTGAGATTACTGCTGCAAAGGAGAACCTGCCTCTCACCCCTGCCCTACAGCTGCCCCACCTTCCCTGGCTGCAGAGGGCTGAGGATAAGGATGTAAGGGCCGTGCTCTCCTTAGCTGAGGCGTCTCAAGCCAGTGCTGCGGCCACATTGGCTCTTCTCTGGAGGCCAAGACAGTGCAGGGAGTGCATCCACAGAATCAAGCGACGAGTGTGACTTCACTGTCCTGAAAACCTGGGCCAAGAACTGGCCCAGAGTCCGAGGCAGCCTTTGGCTGGAGGAGGAAGAGCAGCAGGCACGGAAACTCCTGTGCCCAGGGCAGCCTGGCACAGATAAACAAAACGGAGGGGCAAGAGGAGCAGCAGGCACCAGCATTATGGAAGCTGAAGGTCTTTGCCCTCCCAGCACTTAAAAAGGACAAATGAGCGATGGAAGCATTACCTAAAATCTGGGATGCCACTGGGGGTGCTAATCCCAGCGCCAGCCATCACCACCACTCGCCGACACTCCTTGTTCTGAATCAGCGCTGCCACGTCCTGCAGGGTCAGCTGCTGCTTCCCACCATCACCTCCCCATCTGCCCATCCCTAGGATGGCTCTGGTGGCAGCAGACAGAGAGAACGGCCTGGCCCGTTGAATCCTGCACAGAAAAGAGAGAAAACAACAGCTAAAAACTGCTCAGGGGAAGAGAACCACCCCAAGGATGTGGCAGAAAGCTCTTCAATTGGCAGGACTGTGTGCCAGTACTTAACAAGGATAAAGCTGAACTGCTAGTTTAATCCCTGCCCCAGGAACAGATCACTTCCATTGCACTTTCTTATGTGGATCTAAAAATACCAAATCACTGGTACCCCCATGAGAGAGGTTTTTTTTTGGACAGGGAGTGGACACAGGGCTGTGGGACTGGGACTCACAGGTCCCACAGTTGATTTACACAGCTCTGGGGATACAGAAGACTCTTTTCCATGTCCCAAGTTTCAAGAGGTTTCTAACAGGGTGATGTGGGACAACGCTGCTCAGGTCAGCACAGACATTTTCATCTCTCCGTTTCCCCCAAGGGCTCTGCCTTGACCGAGCTCCGCACATAAACGGCAAACTCCTAAAGGAACCACAGGTCAGCATCACGTACAGACAGGGCTGAGAACAACCATTATCATCTCAAGGAACAGCTTATCCCCAGACAATTAGTGCTTGCTCGTGCAGGACATTATGATCAGTCCAGAGAAGGCGTGGGAATGTGCGAGCCAAGAGAGAGCTGCTGGACCTTGGCAATCACAAATGGTAATTATTGAGCTGCAAGTGTCCACTCACTCAGCGTGGTCGGCGCTGTCTTCACAAGGACACGGCTCTGCCTTGTCAGACCAGGTTCCCAGGGAGCTAAATTCAGAGTCTGGCAAACACTAATATATTATTTTCTGGTAAATCTCTCTGCTCTTCAAGCTCCCAAGCCAGCCTGGGCTGACAGAGGCAGTGACCCATCTGCCTGTTCAGACAGGAGAGGTGAGGCCCTCCATCCCATGCTTTCATCCTAACAGTACTGGTTCCATTCCTTCTCTTCAGCAGCCCCGTGCAGAGGCGTGGTGGGTGCCAGGCACCAACACCGGCGGTGAGGGGATGAGTGTGCAAAGCCAGACGGCCCTACCTCCATGCTCTGCCTCCAGAGCAAAGGGAGAGTCGGGCCAGGCCCTCCAGGCCGCTGCTGCTGCTGCTGCCATCCCTGGGGCCGTGCTCCCACAGGCTCCTCCATGCTGCAAGAGAGCAGAGAGTTGGTGAACGAGCGTTGAAGGAGAACTGGAGGGCAGCAACATGAGGGCGAACGCGGGGTCTCTTGGGGCCTACTCAGGATCCGCACCTGCCCCGCAGCCCTCCTCAGGACACGCTCCTGCCCCTCAG